GACCCAGTGCTGTTTCAAACCGGGAGAGACAGAGCGAGGGAAACAGGCCAATGATAGGAGTAAATTACTATAAGATGCTAGAACCTGAAAACAAAATAAAATGCTGGAGGTCGCATCCATGGATACTGCCTAACCCAGTACAGCATTTTTTTTTTGTTTTCGAGAAATCAAACCAGAAAAGACAGACCGAGCACGTAGCCAGCCCTCCTGAGCTCTGACTGTATCAGCTCCTGCAGCATTCTGATACATATCCGTGAGCTTTCAGTCCGGACCCGATCACCAGCAGCTGGAGAAGGGGGGGGTGAAGAGGGAAGAGACCAAACAATCTGCAAATACCACTACCTCACACACAACTCTCGTATGACCAGATCCTGCAGTCAAAACTTTCAGCAATCCACTTCTTTTGTCTTCAGGTTCCCCTGCCTCCACTGGGTGAAAAATCCACCCTCACACAGCAAACCCCCGTTGCATCCTCCCTGCCTTGTGTTTCGGAATGGTTGGCTCCACGTCTGGGTCCAATGTAACAATGCTCCGGCCATGGCGTCTTTCTGAGCCCGGCTTAGGGAGGAGGCGGTGTTTTGCTGGCTTTTAATGCAACAGAGATCAGAACCGGGCACGGCGCAGAAACAGTAGCTTCGGTGGTCTGAACAAACCCCTTCCCTACCTTCAACTGCTGCTGAACGAGAGCTACAAGGCGAGGGTAGGTACGCTGAAACGCCGGCGAAAGAGAAAAGTTAATGAGCTAAAATGCTCATGTTGAACGGGCTTCTCTCCCTTTCTCTCGCACTGGGTTACAGTATCAGCCAGGCCCGGGTTACATTGTAGCATCGACGGATATTGTATCCACTCAAGATTGACTTCAACTCGAGTTTACAAAACAATCTTGAGTCGGTGCTTCTCAAGTTTTTTTTTTAAAAAGTAGAATTTGGGTCTGCAGCTGAGCTCAGCACATATTGGGGAAGGGGATTTTTTTTTAGAAAATAATGTCTAACTTTTTGAATCATCTCCGGCTGCTGTGTAAAGTATCTTATGTTGGGCAGGCTAGCGGCATTTTGTCGCTTGCAGGTTTCAAAGAGGGTTGCTGTCCTCTTACGTTCAGGGTGTAATTGACACAATGAGAGCCTTGTAAGTTTCTCCCTGGCTTCTCTGGTCCTTCGCAATAAACAAGTCGCAATTTTACCTGAAATGTATCGTCGCCCCCCCAATCAGCATCAATAACAAAGCTGTTTTGCGGGGAACCGCGTGTGTATGTTGTGCCTTAGGGGAGTGGGTTGTGGAGAATGGTGATGGGGAACACCTCTCCCACTCTCTCAGCCTTTAACAGCTTCCCCCCCCCACACACCATTTCAACCCCTCCCCCCTGCTGAAGGGGCATTGGAAATTGAGGGGGTGGTATTTATAACTGACCCACAGGATCAGCATCTTGATATCAAGGCAGCTGTAAATTTGAACGACTTCGTCAAAAAGAGAGATCGCCAATTGCAACTGTCCGGCACCTCTTGTGTCTCCTTGGAGTACCTTCCCTTGTTTTTTTTTTGCGCGGAATAAGTTGATCGCAGGACTTGAGAAGATACGAACTAGGGGCTTTCCGTTCATGTTTGAAGGCAGAACCCGTGAGCATTCACGCTGTATTTTAAAGCTTTTTTTTTAAAAGAATGTGCATTAATAGATGTCTGAGCTGTAGAGATTGCTGATGCGATTTTAATGGTGATTGTGGTTATGTCTAGTAACAGGGTTACATTGCAGTGGTCAGATTACATAAAATAAGTAACTGTAGTACAAAGGCGAAAAGGAACTTGGTAATCTGTTCGGGACACAACTTCTTTAGTCCACTGCAAGTGGCACAAAAAACTGTCTTATAATTTCCAACTGAAATCTTAAAGTATTAGATGCATACAAAAAGCATCTTGCGTTTTCCCGAGGCTTCCTGAAGTGAGGGAGTAGAAACCTTTTTTTAAAACAAAGCAAGATTTTTGTATTTAAATGGCGCCTTTCACAACTTCGGGATGTTCCAAAATGTTTCACGATCAACTACTTTTTAAACTGGAGTCACTGTTGTAAACTTGGTAGCCAGTCTGTGCACAGCAAGCTCCCGCAGCAATGTTATAAAGTCCAACAGTGATGTTGGTTCAGGATTAATTCAGGCCATGATCCAAGCAAAAACTGAAAGATATTGGCATGAGAATTAATTTGCAATTAAAGCATGCAATGTTGGCTGACAAATTGTTTGATTTATTGATGTCACATGCTCCGAGATACAGTGAAAAGTTTTGTTTTGCATGCAGTACAGGCAGATCATACAATACAAAGTGCATAGGGGGTAATGGAACAGAGTGAGGAACACAATGTTATGGCTGCAGAGAAGGTGCATAAAGAGCAAGATCAATATTTACATTTAAAATTTGAGAGGTCTATTGAGAAGTCTGATAATAGGGAAAAGGCAGTTCTTGAATCTGTTGGTGCGTTTTAAAGCATTTGTACCTTCTGCCTGATGGAAGAGGTTGGAAGAGATTATAACCAGGATGGGAGGGGTCTTTGATTATGTTAGCTGCCCTCCAGAAATTTAGATGAAGTGAATGGTTGGAAGGTTGGTTTGCATGGTGGACTGGGCTGTGTTCACAACTCTGTAGTTTCTTGCATTCCTGAACAGAGAAGTGAAAAGTATTGTCTTGTGTGCTAACCAGAGGAAATTTTACCTTGTATAAATACATCAGGGTAATAGAACAGAATGCAGAATATAGCGTTACAGAGAAAGTGCTGAGAAAGATCAACTCTAACATATGACATCCTTCTGTGCTTGCGGTTTGTGTACGCAATTAAAACTGAAGACGTGCAAATGCTGGAGGTCTGAAATCAAAGCAGAAACCGCTGGAAAAACTCAGCGGGTCTGGCAGAATCTGTGGAGAGTGAAAAACAAATTTTGTTTTGTTTCAGAAGAAGAATCGATTGAACTCGGCGTGAATTCTGTTCCTCTCTCTGCAGATGCTGCCAGATCTCCTGAGTTTCTCCAGCAACTTCTGTTTCTGTTTGTTTCAAATATTGAAGCAAATGGGACGTGCGAATTTATATTCTGAAAGAAAACAGATATGTACACAAAGAAAAAACTGTGGGAGAGCTAGCAGGTCTGGTAGCATCTATACAGAGAGAACATACTTAACAGAAATTCTGAAGAAGGGTCACTGAACGTGAAACATTAATTCTGTTTCTCTCTCCAAAGATGCTGCCAGACCTGCTGAGTTTCTCCAGCAATTTCTGTTTTTATTTGTTTCAGAATTTCAGCATCTGAAGTTCTTTGTTTAGTTTATTGCTTCACTATTTGTTTTTATGTAAAGCTTCTGAAAATTGGGGGTGACATTTGAGGGTACCATGTCAATATAATATTCTCCAGGATGTTTCTTGTGGAATTGATTCTATCTGTTGGTAAAGTTGATAGATTGAAGACGCGGTTAATTAATTGACTGTGTAGGTCTATTAACTGTAGTAACTTGCGTGCAATAGTACCCACTGCACCTGCAGCTGGTGTGTCAGGCTGTATCCACTAAATATTTAGCTGCAGCATCCTACTTGATGTACAGATTGCCCTATCTCACTGAGGCTGAGTGGGTACACAATGCTTATTATAGCATACAGAAGGAGGCCTTTCCATGCATTATGTTGGCGCTGTCTCTTTGCTGCCCACTTTATGTGATTTTCCTGATCCACCTACTCTCCCAACCCAACACTACTGTTGTTTACCTGCAGCCCAGCACAATACTCATTTTTCAAGTACAAGGGCAGAAGTTGCTGAGAATACTCAGCAGGTCAGGCAATATCTGTGGCAAAAGAAAGAGAGTTAATGCCTAGTGGTATTATCGCTGGACTGTTAATCCAGAGACCTGGATAACATTCTGGGGATGTGGGTTTGAATCCCACCATGGCAGATGGTGGAATTTGAATTCAATAAATAAATATCTGGAATTAAGAATCTAATGACGATTATGAATCCATTGTTGATTGTCGGAAAAACCCATCTGGTTCACGAATGTCCTTCAGGGAAGGAAGCTGCTATCCTTACCCAGTTTGGCCTACATGTGACTCCTGACCCACAGCAATGTGGTTGACTCTTAACTGCCCTCTGGGTAATTAGGGCTGGGCAAAAAATGCTGCCTAGCCAGCAACGCCCTCATCCTGTGAATGAATAAAGAAGAAAAAAACATTTGTTCTATAAAGATTAGTGTCATTCATTGAGACAGGACTCCAGAAATATTCAGCAACAATCAGACTAAGGACAGTTTTTCTGCTGACTGCTCCACCCCTTGTGGGCTTGCACTTTCCTCTTCAGTTGCTCATAAGTCTTCCATTTTTAACTTCAGTAAGCAATACAACCAGGGAAAAGAGCATAAGGAACTGGTTTCCCGTTATCTCCTTGTGTGCTTAATGGCAACACAAGTTCTTTTCCCATAGGATCCTCTGCCTGTGAGCAGCCATTATCTCTTGACATTTTAACTCTTCACCATCAGCACTGAGAATTGGCTTGGTTCACCATTAACCATGGTGACCCTTGCCTGGACCTGGAGAAGCTTGAGGACATAAATCTAAAGTGGTGAATTCAATGCAGTGCTCAAGGACCATTGCATTGCTAAACATATTGTCTTTTAGACATCTACCTATAAAGGTAGTGTGAAAGACTGTGTAGCTTTGTCTTGAAGAGAGCAAGGAAGAGCAAGCAACATTGTTACCTGAACCAATGGATCCAAATGTGGTGAATTGGTCATTTGCAGCCACCATGCTACAGTATGCGTGTGTTGTTTTGTTAACAATAGTGAACACACTTCAAAGTAGTTTATTGCTTGTGGAGGGCATTGGGATGTTCTGAAAGGCAGAATGTAAATATGAGTTTACCTGTACAAAACAGCAATAGTGCAGGACTACACAAATTGGAATCACAACGGATCAAATCTATGCCTGAACTTTGGTCATCTAGGTTGTAATAGTAAATGTGTCTACATGGGATGGTGCAAAAGTTGTGCTTTGAAGACATTGAGTTCATAACTGAACTTTTATGATAATCCATGTACATGGGTTGGAGTAAGCCATTTGGTGTTCTGAACCTGCTCCTCCGCTCAGCAAAATTGTTGTATATTCCTGCTCTATTCCTTCGCTCCTTTTAATATCCAAAACTCTATGACCCCTATCTTGACTATCTTCAAGGATTGAGTGTCACAACCTTCCAAGGTTGAGAATGGTTTCTGCATCAAATAACATTTATGGAAGGGGCTTCGACATGTTCTATTATAAGATTCTTAAACAAACTGTTTTGAATATGGAATGAATGCAGATAATGTCAGAAACACAGCAATATCTTGCAACATCTTGGGAGAGACAAACATTTCATTGTGATGACCTTTTACTTGGCACTCATTCAACGTGGAGTGCTATGTTTCTAAATTTTATTATATATATGTGAGATGGAAAAAGTAGAAGTTTTGTAGTTGGCCACCTACTCCAATTAAGATGTGGGACATGAAGTAATTATTGTATGACAGTTCATGTTGAATGGTGCAGTTTGCTGTGCTAATCACTGCTTGCACTTCTGTTTGTTAATGTGCATGTATGTAAAATGGAAAGACTGGGAAAGTGTTTTTCACTGACAACTCTTGTGCTTTTTGTGTATTTTAAAAAGTCCCTTGCTTATTAAAATAGATGTTTAGAATGCTAATT